CGCGGAGCTGCAGAGTCAATGCTGTTCTTTGAAATAAATTCTTCTGGGAGGAGAGGCAGGTGTCCACGTATTAGTTGGGATTGGGACTGGCCCCCAGACCTCTTCACTGGTTCCCTACTGCATGCCGACCTGTTGCATTCACATCTTGGAGCACTGGGTTGAAGTCTGGTCCCTCTTTCCCTGTGGAGATATAAAGAATATCCTCCCCTTGGGTGGGTTAGTGCCCTGTGCCCCGCTACCATTTTCTTTTGTATTAGTATTATTTTTTCCTTTCCTCACCTCCTTTTTAGTTGTCTACCATATGTATCCCTGTGTTTGGCCTGGGCCCTGCCATATTACCTGGTCCTCACCCCAGGAATGTTTGTATAAAGTAGCTTTTTCCCTATGCCCCTTTTGCATTTTTTTTAAAGCTTACCTCAGTGGACTCATGTTGTACTTGTACTTTTGTGCTTGACTTAACTTCACTTAGCATGATTTCCTTTAGTTCTTCCCATGCAGCAATGTGCTTCATACAGTTCATCACTGCTTTTTAGCGATGCTTAGTACTCCATTGTATGTATATACCATAGCTTTTTTTTTCTTTCAAACCAACAGCCTTTACATTATTTATTGTTAGACTTGATGAGGAAGCAAAAAGCCAAGGAATAAACCAGATTTGCCAACAGAAGTTCAACTGATCAAGTGGGGACAAAAGTTTTAATGCAACACAACATGATTTGAGATGGGGAAAATGCGGTCATGCATGCCATCCCTCAGGGGGCTCCTTATAGACCCAGCTTGGTTCTTCTCCAATATCTTCTCTTGGAATTGTACCTGATTTTATTACCAGTTTTCATTCGAATCCATTGGGGAATGGACCGATTCTGCTTCTGTTTCTTGGCCAGGAATCTCTTGATCCTGAAAGTCTTATGAGACGACATGGTGAAGTCGTAGCAACACCACACTCAGGATGACAGAGAAACTGAGAGAGGGAGAAGAGCACCATAGCTTTTTAATCCAATCGTCTTTGTGGCCTTCTGGGTGAGGTTGTTCTATGTGGCGGTCTCTTATTTATGTTTGGTGAGTGTTGTTCTTCTGCCCATACTGGGTCGGCAAAGATTTTTTGTAGGGCTGGGCTTTTTCTAATGTATTCTTTGAGTTTTTCCTTGTCTGGGAAGACTCTTACTTCTCCATCTATCTTGATTGATAATTTGGCTGGGTAGAGTATTCTTGGGTTGTTTTACTTCAATTTTGGAATATGTTACTCAACTCTCTCCTCATCTTCATAGTTTCTGCTGATAGGTCTTAGTATATTCTTATTTGGGAACCTTTATATATGATTGCTTGTTTTTCCCTAGCTGCTCTCGTGATTTTCTCCTTTTCCTCAAAGTTGGATAGTTTAATTATTATGTGCCTTGGTGACTTCTTCTTGGGATTCACTTTAGTTGGTGTTCTTTCAGCCTCCTGAATGGTTGCCTCATTTTCATTCATTAAGCTGGGGAAGTTTTCCTCCAAGAATTCTCTCACTATTGTTGCAGATGACTTCTTTGTTGTGTCTTCCTCTGGTAAGCCAATAATTCTAATGTTCTTCTGTGGGGGGAGGTCAGATGCACAGGAATTCCCTCCACCGAAGGCAATCAGTTGCCAGACTGCTGTCTCATCCCACCGCAGGGGTGGGCCTGCTCCCTGCCTCTGGGGACTGGACAGGCTCCTGTAGGCAGAGTTTTCACCCTACTGATAATGGTTCCTATGGAGACCCAGAGCCCACCTCCTAGACCACCCTCTCATTAATATGTTAACTATAGTGTAATCCCTTCTTGTGACATATGTCTCTACCTGTAATTAGTGGGCTGGCATGCCCCCAAAAGGTATATAGGCATGAGGTGTGAGTCAGCAATATAGAGCTCTCTGACTCTCCTCCCCTCCTTGCTACTCACTCCCTGGTCACTCTCCTCCTCTTCCCCCTCTCCCTTGTTCCCTTGCCCTCCTTTCCTTCCCCCTCTCTCAACATGGACCACCAAGCTGGGCTGAGGTGAGCAATGCTACCATGAAATGTGTCTGACTGCGTCATTGTAATATCTCTTTTATCTCTCATGCTCTCGATGACTTTAATATAATACTTATATATTTCAACCGTACAATTGTGCATTACTGAACCCAGAAGTAGTATTACTGAACCAGTGAGTTCTAGTAGCAGGTGGGGCTGGCCCCCTACTCCCCCACGCCACTTTTAATTTAATACTACATTCTTCTGCTTCATAGCATCAGACATAGCTCTTAGGTTTTCTTCAGCTTCTCTGATGATCTTATTGGATTTTTGTTCACATTTGTTAAAGTCTGCTTGGCTGTCCTCCAAGTCTCTGCTTCCTCCAGTCGATTCTGGAGGTCAATGTTTCTGCTACTGGTATTTGTTATCTCCTCCCTAAGCTCCTGTATGTCGCTTTGGTGTATGGCCTTTATATCCTCTATCATTTCATCCTTTCTCTTTATTGTTTCTCTCATATCCTGTATGACTCCAGGCAGCGTTCTGAAAATTTCTTTCTGTGGCAGCTCAATGTCTGCTTCTTCTATGCATGTCATTATGTTCAGGACATCTTCTGCCATTGCCTTTTGTTTCTCCTGTTTCTTCGTTGAGGTCCTTGGGGCTGATGGCTTTTTGTGTTGTGTTGTTTTAGAGGAGCCAGGTGCCATTTTCCAGGGACTTGAAGAGCACTGGCTCTCTCTGGGAGACTTGTAGGAATGTTTCTTCGAACTGCCTACAGCTAATTTCACTATGGAATTAACCTACCCCTTTATCCTCCTGTGGCTTCCCTCTCAGGGGAGTGCCCCAGAAGGCTGGTGGGTTGCCTGCTTTGGTGTTGTGGAGTTTGGGCAGAGGTTCCTGTAGCAGCTTGAAATGTTGACTAGTGTTGGCAGAACTTCCTTAATCCCCCAGGCACACAGGAAGGAATTCCCAGGTAAGAAGTTGGGCAGAGTTTCCTCTGGTGGAGGTCGGCTAGCTGCACAGGGTGGAGCTCACCTAGCTGGGTGTGGCATTGGCGTAGATGTCCTAGGCTAATGGGAGTGGTCTGGAGGTCAGTAGTGGAGTTTGAGAGCATAGGAAAGAGACAAAGAGTAGAAAAAAATTCAAAAGTAAGCCCGCTGGGACTGCATGGATGTATAGAAGAGAGGGAAACAAAAGCAACAATGTAGCTGAACCCCGATCTGTGCCTGTGGAGCTGCAAGGGTATAGTCCTGCCAGAGGAGGCGGCAACAGCAAGCTGTGGCTGTGTTATGAAAAAGCCCCTGTGCAGCCCTCCAAGACTGTGGGGGGATAGAGAGAAGAGATGGAAACAAAAATAACAATGTAGCTGAACCCCTATCCCTTCCTGTGGAGTTGCATAGGTACAGTCACTGCCCTGAGGCAGGTGGCCGAAAACTGTGTCTGTGTTGAGACCAAGCCCCTCTATGGGCTCCAAATGGTCCCAGCTCTGGCAGAGACAGTGGCGGGTCCAAGGTCAAGCCCCAGGCAGCTTCCACTGAGGTAAGCCAAAAGCCCCTAACCCTTCAAAACCCCGCGTGTCTGTGCCTACTTATCTTTATGATGCTCCTCCTGCATTCCAGCAGTGTTGAATTTCTTTCTAAGCAACTCTCCTGGGCTGAATTCTGTAGAGTCCCTCCAGTATGTGTTACTCCATCGCCATCTTCATGGAAGTCAATGCTAAAATTTTCACCAAAATTTTAGCTAACAGAATTTTACAAAATTTTTAAATAACAATATATACTCACCAAGTGGGATTCCTACCAGGTATGCTAATCATGGTTCAATATGAAAATAACAACAACAATCAATGTCATCATTATATTAAGGGATGCAGGAAAGACATTCAACAAAATTCAACATCCGTTCTTGATTTAAAAATTCAAGAACAGGAGAATAGAAGGCAAATTTCTCAACATAATAAAGGCTACATATGGAAAAACAATGGTCAGAATGTTATTCAATAGAGAGAAACTGAAAGCACTTCCCTTCTGTACAGGAATCAGACTGTATTGTACTTTCTCATCAGTCATATGTAATATAGTCTTGGAAGTCTTAGTCAGAACTATTAGACATAAAAACTATCTTAAAGGTACCCAGATTGGCAAAGAAGAAATAAAACCTTATCTATTTACCAATAACATTATCTTCTATGTAGAAAACACGAAATATTCAATTAAAATTTAAAAAAAAATTGCTGGAACTAATTGAAATATTTGGCAACATTGCAAGCTATAAGGACAACAAACAACAATTAGATTGCTGAATATTAATGAAGGGGACTCTGAAAAGAAATTAAAAGAATAATACTATTTGTAATAAATACCCAAAGAATAAAATAGGTAGGAATAAATCTAACAGAGAAATAAAAGACTTATCCAAAGAAAACTAAAATGCCCTTATAAAAGAAAACGAAAGAAACATTATAAATGGAAGATTGTCCCATGTTCATGAATCAAAAGAGGTAATACAGTGAAAATTTCAATATTACCAAAAAGCACTCTAAAAATTCAATTCTGAACCAGATCTCAGATAATTCTCAACAAAAAGCGGGGAGGGGGGGGGTCAGCAATTTCATATGGAAAGGAAAGAAATACAGGGTAAATAAAACAAAACTGCAATGTAACAGCAAAACAGGATGCTTCTCACTCTCTGATTTGGAAACATACTTTGCATCCAAGGTAATCAAGACAGCTTGGTATTAGAACAGCATATGTTGACCAGTGGATCAGGACAGAGAACCCAGAAATACAACCAAATGCCTGAGAAATCTGATTTATTTTAAAGAACTAAAGCACATTAAATGGGGGAAGAAATAGTTTTTTTTTAAACAAATAGTACCAGAAAAATTGGATCTCCATCTGCAAAATATGAAGCAGGACCCCTATTTTACACCCTATAAAAGAAGAACTAAAGATAGATTAAAGACAAGTATAAACCTAGAAGTATATAGATAAGGGGCCTAATACAAGACATAAATGCACTACCAAAAATTAGAAAAAGCATCCACACTACTTAAGATGAAATAAATGAATGGGACCTCCTAAAAATACTACATTCATGTACATCAAAAAAAGAAGCACACCAACATCAGTAATTGAAGGATTGTAAATCATATAATATGAAAGCGAAGGAGAGAAGAGTATCAGAGTCTAAATTGTGAGATTCTGTTTGCAGAAAGCTATGGGTGACAATGGGACCCCAAGATACATTTGTGAGATCTACATAGGAAATAAGCCTCTATTGATTTCCCTGTACCCATAATAGAGGGATGGAAAGAAAATGGTTACCAAAGAGTGGACTTGCCAGATGACTATGGAAGATCAAAATGATAAACTTGAATTTAATGGTTAAAACCTTGTCAGTTGATACCCTCTCAGACACGCATTGGGCCTGATGTGGCCTTCAATATTTTTGATATTTCTAAAATTTTTGTTTGTTCATATAGAGGTTTGTTTCAAATGTATTTTGTCATTATGGGTGACCCTCTTGAATTTTTGTTATATGCTTTTCTGTTTTTCAGATTATGAAACCCAAGATTGATGAACCTATAGGGACAGCAAGTAGAATCAGTGTTTCTGGGCATACAGTAGGGGCAAAAGGGAGCTGATGTGAAGGAGTTCAAAAAGGAACATAAAGTCTTGAAATAGATTATGGTAACAATTGCACAACACTGCTTAATGTGATTGAACTATGCAACAATATATCTGTATTAATTCCCAATAAAATGGTTTTGAAGAAAACAAAACAAAAAACCCAGTAGCATGCAAGAATCAACATGGTTTCCCAAAGCATATGGTGTGCTACACTGGTTTAGTTCCTCCTACAATAAGACAGAGAGAAAGAGAGAGAGAGAGGAGAGAGAAACAAGAGAATTTACTCATTGGGAAAACAAAAGTTCAGCTATGTCAGGTAAAGGGCTAATCTCAAAAATACATAGAAAAATGCAATACCTTCATAAAAATACAAATAATTG